CATCTGGGTCTTTGCAAACTCAACCTTCCCCGAAGCCCCGCCCACCAACATGACTCTTTCTTGAGTGCTTTGGCTTCAGTGGATTTGGGTGCTTTCAGTTTAGAAATAGCCAGAGGCAGCTGGGAGGGAGGGGAGTGTGCGGATGGCAGCTCAGGGTCACAGGGCACAGAGGGGCACAGATACAAGGGCATCGAGCCTGAGCTGGTGCCACCTGCCCTGCAGAGCATGAGGGGGCCGGCTGAGTCCTTCCATTGTCCCGCCCCCCCCCCCACTCCTTGCACTCCCCCAGTAACAGCATGGAGGTGTCAGGAGAGTTAGAGTTCTATGGTTTCCTGTTTGCGGGTGAGAAACTGATGCATTTGCAAAGGAAATGTGTGGTTGGGGACAGTCAGCTTGTGAGGGCCAGATGACAATCGAAGAAGTTTCCCTGCCTGTATGGCCTACGTACGTTTCTATCTATCTCAGGATCTATCATCGTACCTATATATCTATCTCTGTAACTATGTATCTATCTAATTATCTATGTATGTATCTATCTGTGTGACTATGTATCTAAATATCTATGTATTTACATAACTATCTGTGTATCTATCCATATATCTATTCAACTCTCTGTATTTATATAATTACTAGAGACCCGGTGCACAAAAATCTGTGCACTCAGGGGGCATCCCTCAGCCCAGCCTGCCCATCTAACAGTCTGGGAGCCCTCATAGGATGTCCTACTGATGTCCCTGTGGGGAGTGGGTCTAAGCCGCAGTCTGGCCTTCAGGTATATAGATACTTCCTGAAGGCAGCACAGACTCCTTCCTTATTTCTTTCCTCTGTGGTTGGAGAATAGGGGACTAAAAGGTGGAGACAGAACTGTGGCCGGGACTGGGGCTCTTGTAGGCAGCAGAAAGAAGGAGAGGGCTGGGTAAAGTCTAGACACTGTTTTCTTCAATTGTCCTCCTTCCTCCAGGCCCCTCGCTCTGTTCTTTCCCTGTTATGGTGGACGCTTGGGCCTTGGACTGACAGGAGCCCAGCGATGGTGGAGTTCAGCCCCCTCACTTCTCAGCTGAACATACAACTGCCTCACATTCCAAGTGGAGCTGTTTTCAAGTGGCTACAGTGCTGGCAATTCATGCCTCCTGGCCTTTCCCCTCTGGGACTTCCTCCTTGGGTCAGGTGCAAACTTCACCGAGACACTGAAGCAACTCTGCCCTGGTACTTCTGCACCGGCCGGGTACTCTTCCTTGAGGGGTACTCTTCCTTGAGGTCTCAGGGAGGTCACCCAGAGCCCATTCCCCCGGACAGGTGGGGCAGGGGGGCTAGCTTGAAGAGCTGGAGGAAGATGGCAGAGTAAGAGTTGGTATGAACCAGCGCCTGCTTAGCCAGACTTCCTAAGCTCCCCACTGGGCCCAGGCTGGGCCCCTTCCCCACACAAGGAGGATCCCAGCTGAGGTCCCCTCCCTGTACCCAGCGCTCTCCTCCCTGTTCTACCACTGGGGGAAGGGAGCAGCTCACCTGCTCTAGACCCTGCCAACCTGGCAGGCTGAGGCACAGGCAGTGCAGCCTAGGGTGCTGGTGGCTGTGAGCCTTCTCCCCCTCCCTGAAGCATGGGGCGGGGTTGCAGCAGCTCACAGCCACCCCTGGGCACCATGCATGGAGACACTGCTCTCCAGTGAGCCACCGTCCGCCTGGACCTGTGGGGATTGGGGTGGCCTTGGGCTCCCACTGGCCCCACTGAAGCCAGAGTCGGCTTGGCCGGCCACCCCCACTGCCAGAGGGCTGCACATGCCCCATGGGCCTCATGACCCTCATGAATCGCTGTGGTCCGGCCGTCCCATCCCAGGAAGTGGCCATCCTGACCGCCATGGCTCATTCCCCAGTGCAGTTGGGCCTGCCCAGCAAGCATGTAGGCAGGAGGTGGGCCTCTGAGGGAAAGGAGGAGGGATGCTCGGGCCAGGGCAGAAGTGGGGAACTTGGTGGTGTAAACACAGCCCCCCCCTACATCGTGCCGGCCCCTCGTGCTGCATTCCCGAACCCCTGGGTGCCCCTGCCCAGCACTGTGCTCTCGGGCCTGGGGTGGGAGTGAGGGACCTGGAGCTGGAGCCTGAAGGCAGCCCTGGCTGGCTTGGAATCGTAGTGGTGGATCAGGGAGGGATGCGGGGTGCCAAATTCTGCGTATCTCTCTCTCTCTCTCTTTCTCTCTCTCTCGGAGAGGGCCCCGTGTGAAGGCAAGTGATGCCAATAGCCTCACCAGAGCCCCCACTCGCCCCTGGGTCGCACAAGGGTGGGCCGGCCAATCACTGCTGCACCGTCCGCCTCCCTGGGTCACAGATAGCAGGCCCGGATAGCAGCAGGGCAGGCAGCATGGCGCTGTCCTGCCCTGCCTGCAGTATGCAAATTAGTCGCCATCTTTGTTGGCAGTTAATTTGCATATGGCACTGATTAGCTGATGGGAGGCGTAGTGAAGGTATGGTCAATTACCATGTTTGTCTATTATTAGATAGGATGTATCTGACAACCTGAATATCTATCTATGCTCCCAGTATGGGTTTATGTAACTAAGTATCTGTGTAACTATCTCTTTATCCATGTTTGCATCTATGTATTTATCTATGTAACTATCAATTTGTGTATCTGTGTAACAACTTATACATCTATGTATCTGAGTACCCAGCCATCTAGGATCTATCTAGGACTTATCTATCTATCTATCTATCTATCTATCTATCTATCTATCATCTATCTATCCATATCTATAATCTATATCATGTATGTCTGTCTATCGCTGGTGAATTGATACCATGTGGGTTTGATCTGGTCATGGGTTTAGCCTGGTGAGGACGTATATCGCTAGAAACTGTTGCGTGACAAATTAAAAATTTACTTTTTCATAGAGTCTCACCAAGGCCTCACTGGACCCACAAAGGGGAAACTGGATTTGTGGTTAGGAGCACCTGCCTCCCTTCATTAAAAACCACAGAAATGACGCTCATGACTCAGCCCCTTTAAAGCCGCCCTGCACATTCACTGACCTACAGAACCCTGTCCTCCCTCACCCAGACAGACTCACCTCCTCCCTGTGGACAAGGACAGAGAAGACGGGGAGAGGCTGGCCATGAGCCCCCGGCCCTCCACCCTCCTGGGCCTCGGTGAGTCCTAGACGGAGGGACTGCATCCCAGGGACCTAGCGGGTGGGAGCTGGGGAGGCGTCTACATCCCTGCTCAGTGCTGACTCCAGCCCAGGAGACTCATGGTCCCTCCTGGGGGCCTGGCCCTCAGCTCTGGCCCTGACCTAAGTGTGACCATGGGAGGGATAGTCCTAGAAGCAGGTGCCTGGGCTTGGGGACAGGTTCTGACTGAGGACCTGATTGGAAGAGGGGGGTGGGGGTTTGTCTGGAAACTCAGAGCAGGAGGCAGGATTGTGCTCAGAGGGGATGCTGACCAGGGAGCCTGGGAAATTCTCAGGGCCGAGCTGCCTCCAGGAAGGCCCCCTGATTGCAGCCCAAGGAGGACCGGTTGCTGGGCGTTGTTCTCACCAGACCCTCCCTTGCAGTGCTCTGCCTGGGCCAGACGATCCACATGCAGGAGGGTGAGTCGGCCTTTTTAAATGGAGTTTTTCATATCAGTTCCATTTTGAGGCAAAATATTGCTTTTCCTTAGAGTCCCCTCCAGGTGTATCTTCAGCTGGATTGAGCCCCCAGCCTCTCTCTTTGTCTGGATCTGTCTGTTCTCATGCCCTCTGGCTAAGTTACCTTCAGACACCCAGCCTTTCTTTCACTTTCACAAACACCTTTTTCCCCCTGGACCTAGGCTTCCTCCCAGGCTGAGGGCTCCTGTGCTCAGCTTGTCTCATTCAAACCTGACCCTCTAGTCTCAGCTCAGGGTCTCCCCCCTCTGCATCAGATGAGGTGTCAGGTCTGCCCCCCTCACCCTGAGCCTCCCACACTCACCCCTCAGCCTCCCACACTCACCCCTCAGCCTCCCACACTCACCCCTGAGCCTCCCACACTCACCCTGAACCTCCCACACTCAGCCTGAGCCTCCCACACTCACCCTGAACCACCCTCACTCAGCCCTGGGCGAGTATCACAGCGCGTGGCTGTGGTTTGCACACTCCACCCCTCACCCTGTGCTCCCTCTACCCTTCCCCCAAGAAGGCAGGGACCCTCCTGTGTTTCTCCTATTTGTGGAGCCAATGGCACAAGGAGGCATCTGTAAAGAGACAGATGGGAGCTAAGCTGTGGCTGAAGGAAGGAGGGAATGAGTGCTGGGGCTCGGCCAGCTCTGTCTCCATCAGGGATTGAGTAACTTGGATCCCTTCTTCCTGTTTCAGGACTAGAGCCCTCTCCCCCTGCCCAGCCCAGTTTAGACACTTGGGGTTTCAGGTGCCTCAGTCACAAGGAAGTTGGAATGGGCTGAGAGGAATGGGGGAAAAGGAGAGGGAACCTGAGTGAGTGCTGCTCAGAGGACGTGCCCTGGAGTCAGCAGGTCCTCACCACTGGGGTCCTGTGAGCAGGTCTAGGCTGGTGTCCACTCCCACCCCCCACTAGACTTCACATAGGGCCATGAAGACCAAATGGTACCCACAATCTCCCCCAGCTGCTTTCAGACCTGTCCAAGTCTGTCCCACCATCTCAGACTCCAGCGTCCCTGTCTCCATGAGGGACCTGCTCATCCTCACCCTCTGCCTCCCTCCCAGCCCTGTCTGTCTCCCTGGAGAGTGGCCGTGGGGAGGGAGACATACCCGGGGCCCCAGGCTGCTCTGACACCTCCCGTGTCCTCCTGAGACAAGCTCAGGATGTAACCAGAATTTGCGTCACGTGGAGAAGTCAATGGAGAGATGAGGACCTAGTTTCCTGGAGGGGGAAGGGGTGGGGTTTGGGGAAGGAATGTTTCAAATGGTGTGGAATTGGGCTGTGGTGAGGGTTGCACAGCTCTACGAGTTTTCTAAGAACCACTGAGCTGCAGGGTTAAGACATGGGAGGTGTGAGGTAGGAGATTTCCTCATGATGGAGCCTGAGATCCTGCTCTGCTTCCTCCCAGGTGCCCTGCCCAAAATGACCCTCAGGGACAAGCCAGGCCCTGTGGTCCCCCGGAGACAGCCTGTGACCGTGTGCCTGGGCCCAGCTGTAGCTAACATATGCCGCCTGGAGAAGGATGGAAGAACTGTAAGCCGTTATCAGAACCCGGTGCCTCTAGATGATTCACAGGGGACAGAGGACAGATTCCTCTTCCCCGCGGTGACTGAAGAAACTGCAGGGAATTACCGCTGCTTCTGTTTCACCCGGTTCGGCAGGTTTGAGCTCAGGGAGCCCCTGGAGCTGAAGGTGGCAGAGGAGGCCGTCTCCACTCTGCCCTCAGGTGGGTCCCAGGGCCCTGCACCCTGTCCCAGCCCCGTCTCTGTCCTCGGGCTCCCTGTCCTCCTGCTCACCCCCAGCCCTGGGCTCCCCTCCCTCTGCACACATGGCCCTCGGCCTTCACCCCTGGCTCAGGACCCTGAGGTCGGGTCCCATCTGGACACCACAGTGGCCTGGACCTTGAGCCCCGCATCAGAGGGGACACAGAGCTGTCCTGCTGGGCTGGGTGGGGCCTGAGCTCCCAGCCACCAGGTGGGGACAGACCCCTTCAAGGGGCCGGAGTCCTTCCCCTCAGGATGGTGGTGCCCTGCCCTTTCCCTTGGCCAGGCTCTATGGGGCCCAGGCAATGTGTCCGCTGGGGTCTACTCTCCATGGACAAGTCCCATGGTTCATGGGGTCCCTGACCAGGGTTGAGCGGTGCTTTGGACATCTTTTGGATGAGGCTGCCCCTGGCCTGGTGTGGTCAGACCCTGAGATGAACTGGAGTCAGGGTTCAACAAGGACATGGAGAGAAAGGGAGGGAGGGATGGAAGGAGAGAGGGAAAATCCTTCCTTTAAATCTGAGCGTCTCCTCTCTCCTCTCTCTTCACCCTGTGGTGACTCAGACATCCCATGGGTGGGAGCACAAGCCCTGAGGTGGGCCCCAACATTGAGGCCTGGGGGTGTCCAAGAGTTGATCCTGACCCTGAGACCCTCACTGCCCTGGGGGACTGTGGAGCCAATGGCACAAGGAGGCGTCTCCTCTGTAAAGGGAGAGATGGGAGCTAAGCTGTGGCTGAAGGAATGAGGGAATGAGTGCTGGGGCTCAGCCAGCTCTGCCTCTATAGGGTTTGGGTAACTTGGATGCCTTCTTCCTGTTTCAGGGCTAGAGCCCTCTCTCCCCTGCCCAGCCCAGTTTAGACACTTGGGGTTTCAGGTGCCTCATTAAAAAGGAAGTGGAAATGGGCTGAGAGGAAGGTGGGAAATGCAGAGGGAACCTGAGTGAGTGCTGCTCAGAGGACGTGCTAGGAGTTGGGGAACCTCACGCACTGGGGTCCTGTGAGCAGGTCTCAGCTGGCTTCCCCTCCCACCACAGCCGCTATCCTTTCCATGGGGCCCTAGAGGCCCCTATGGACCCCACAATGTCCCCCAGCTGCCCGCAGACCCAGCCAGGTCATTCCCACCCTCTCCCACTCCAGCTTCCCGGTCCCTTGAGGGACCTGCTCATCCTCACCCTCTGCCTCACACCCAGTACTGTCTGTCCCCTTAGAGACTGGCCATGGGGAGGGGGATCTGCCCAGGACCCCAGGCTGCTCTGACTCCTCCCGTGTCCCCCTGAGTAAAGCCCTTGATGTCACCAGAACTTGTGTCACGTGGAGAAGTCATTGGAGTGATGAGAATTCAGTTTCCTGGAGGGGGCAGTGGGGTGGTCTCTTGGGGGAAAAGATGGTTTGAATGCTGTAGAATTGGGCTGTGGTGAGGGTTGCACAGCTCTGTGAGTTTGCTAAGAACCACTGAGCTGCACGCTTAAAACCTGGGAGGTGTGAGGTAGGAGATTTCCTCATGATGGAGCCTGAGACCCTGCTCTGCTTCCTCCCAGGGGCCCTGCCCAAACCCTCCCTCAGGGCGGAGCCAGGCCCTGTGATCCCCCGGGGGCGGCCTGTGACCTTTGTGTGCTGGGGCCCAGCTTGGGCTGAGATCTTCTACCTGGAGAAGGATGGAAGGCGCGTCTACCTTTATCACAAAAGTGAGCCTCAAGGTGGTTTGCCTGTGACAGAGGCCAGATTCCACATCCCTGCAGTGAGTGATGTTACTGCAGGGAGTTACCGCTGCCTCTATGAAAATGTGTATGAGGTCCGGTCTGAGCGCAGTGAGCCCCTGCAGCTGCAGGTGACAGAGGAGGACGCCTCCACTCCACCCTCAGGTGGGTCCCAGGGCCCTGCACCCTGTCCCTGCCCGTCTCTGTCCTCGGGCTCCCTGCCCTCCTGCTCACCCCCAGCCCTGGGGCTCCCGTCCCCCTGCACACATGACCCTCGGCCTTCACCCCTGGCTCAGGGCCCTGGACTCTAGTCCCATCTGGAAACCAGGGTGGCCTGGACCCTGAGCCCCGCATCAGAGGGGGCACACAGCTGTCCTGCTGGGCTGGGTGGGGCCTGAGCTTCCAGCCACCAGGTGGGGACAGACCTTTTCAAGGGGCCCGAATCCTTCCCCTTAGGATGGCAGTGCCCTGCCCTTTCCCCTGGCCAGGCTCTTTGGGGCCGGGGCAATGTGTGCCCTGGGGTCTGCCCTCCATGGGCAAGTGGCATGATCCAGGGGCATGACCAGAGCTGGACGTTGCTTAGGGGCATTTTTTGGATGAGGCTGCCCCCGACCTGGTGTGGTCAGACCCTGAGATGAACTGGAATCAGGGTCCAGCAAAAACATGGGGAGGGAAGGAGGTGTCCACTAATTCATCCTGACCCTGTGACCCTCCCTGCCCTGGGGGCCTGTGGTTGGCACAGTGGCTGGGTGAGGTGAGCTCAGAGTCCAGGCCCTGTGAGCCTGTGGCCAGGTCAGGGGGCTCCCACCCTGTGTGTCCATGGGCCAGGACCAGCTGCCCTGTGCTAATGTAGGGAGGGTGGTGGGATGTTCTGAGGGGTGGCCAGCCCCTCAGACAAGTGGAATCAGAAAGGGTGCCACCCGGTGTACCCTGTCTCCCTGTGCCCTTTCTGGGGGGTGTCGGGGCGTCCTCTCTACTGGGATGTGCAGAGAAAGAGACCAGGTGAGGGCGCTGTGGGCGGTGAAGGGCCAGGTGAGTGGGGCAGGCAAAGTGGAACTTGGGCTCAGTGCTTGCCCTGCCCCTTTCAGGGGAGCCCCTGGGGACCTCAACTCTCACCCTGAACGTGGGCTGGGAGGGGGAACAAAGCCTGGGCGTCCCCTCCTCAGACTCTGCTGGGCAGTGGGCAGTGGAGTGGCCGTGGGCAGGGGCTCTGCCTCTCACGGTGGGGCACACAGGGAGCGCAGTGACATTTACATCCTCAATAGCAAGAGACCAGTTCAACCCTGGCCAACGGGGGGGGGGGGGGGGGGAAAAAAAAACGCGGAAAACATAAAGAGTTTAGCCCCTGGGGAGGGGGGGGAACCAAGAAGGGAAAAACCCCCATCTCCCCTCCTGGAGTTTTTGAAAAAAAAATTTTTTTTTTGGAG